ATATTAAATTAATGATTATATAATATTAAATATTAAATTAATATTCGCCATTTCCCATTATTTTTCAATTTAATGCTTAATTTTTTTAAAGGCTTGCAAGTATTAAAATTATTAAAATTTTATCTAAATTTTGAGGTTATGTTCATTTCTTGGTTAGAGAAATTTGGAGTTATGTTTGTCGGACATAACCTCAAACGCAACGGTCCCTTGACATATTTCCTTGAATTTTGAGGTTATGTTCGTTTTAATACTAAAATAGGTAGATATATAGGTCATGTAACGTCAATTCGTCGCTGGGTTTGAGGTTAAAATCAGAACTAAAATATAGGTAAATATGTGGGTCATTCCATATCAAGAGTAACCAACCTAAGACCTATATTGTACTTACCATGTCAAAAACATAGGTCTTAGGTTGGTTATGTGATATTATTTCAGATTTTACAGACATTTTCCAAATTGCAAATTGCAGTCCTTTTGAAATGTAAATATACAAATTATTAGAAATATATTAATTTAACAAAATATTCATATGTAATATTAATTTTACAGAAAATGAAAGTGGTCAAAATCTTTTTAACATAGGTACTCTTTCAATCTGAATCAGTCATATTTTACTGATTAGCAGTAGAAATCTACTAATTGCCATAGCAAGAATTGAGCAGCTGACAATTAGTAGAAATTTACTGATTCAATTAGTAAAATATCAATTACTGATTGAATCAGTAATATAAATATATGGTGGCGGCCACAAAATCTACTGATTTAATAGTTAATTTTAAAGGTTATGTTATATACAAATTACTGATTTACATAAGTTATTTTCTATTGCTTGCATATTCACTAATTATACACGGAGAGACCGCCAGTTGGAAAAATTACTAAAAAAATTTACAAGTAGCGGAAATAAGGTTACATTGTCAAATATTGCTGTAGGAAATCGAAAATTCTACTAGCAGCATACTTAATAAAACCTGTAGACTATAGTAAAATTGTACACAAATTGGAATAGAAATTACTATAGTCTACAGTTTTATTAAGTATGCTGTATGACAAAGTAACCTTATTTCCGCTACTTGTAAATCTTTTTAGTAATTTTTCCAACCGGCGGTCTCTCCGTGTATTAGTAAATTTCAAAAAATAACTGAAACTTCCGTTAAAATGAAAAGTACTGATTGAATTAGTAAAATTTCTACTGATTCAGATTTAGAGAGTATAGCTATATTTTGATGCTAAGTTAAAAATTGACAAATGAAAAATTATTACAATAATTCTAATTTGTCAATTTTAAAATTAACCTCAAAATAGTTATATGTTAAATTGATTTTCGACCATTTGCATTTTCTGTAAAATTCATATTCGAAAAGATGAATATTACAGAAAATTAAAAGGCATTAAAATAAGCTGCAACGATTATTATTTTAATCCAATTTTGCTTATTTTAATCCATTTTGGTATTAAAATAAGCAAAATTGGATTAAAATAATAATCGTTGCAGCTTATTTTAATGCCTTTTAATTTTCTGTGTTTCTGTTAAACTAATATTCTTTTTGCATAATTAATAATATTCTTTTGAATTACTATTCTACAAAATTAATATTCTACGAAACAAAGATTTCGCACAAATTGAGATTCGATATCAAATTAAATTTCTGGCTAATTAATTTTCTTCTAAATAAAAATTCTGCAACATAAATAATCCGTTAAATGAAAAATTCTGTAGAATGGAAAATCAAACAAATGAATATATATTATATAAAATTCAAATTCTGTACAATTTTTTGTGTGACTATTCATTGCTCTCTAAATCTGAATTAGTGAAAAGTGAGCTACTAATTTAAATTAGTAAGAATTTTTACTAATTTTCAGTCACTTTTTACTAAAACTTTAGTAAAAAATTTTAAAACTACTAAATCAAATAGTTTTTACTAAAAATTTAACATTTTACTAAAAATTCTTACTAATGTGAATTAGTACCTCACTTTTAACTAATTCAAATTTAGAGAGTATTTAGTTTTTACTTTTTAGAGGATATTTTTGAATTCAAGTTTTTTCTATATGACAATTTATATGCAGTAATATAAGGTCAATTTATCTTTGATTGAGTGTGGTCAAAGGAATACAATTTCAAATGGAACAAATGTCGTTTGTTTTGATCCATGAGATTGAATGTTTTGTGTTTTAGACAAAAGGAACCTAAAAGCCGACTCTTTTATATATATATATGGGGTGATGTAGCATTTTGCCCGCGGCATTTAAGAGGTATAGGACGTCGACCTTCGTCTCTAAACACGAAGTCAAGTTATAGGTTTGCTTACCGCACTATCCCTACGCACGAGTGAACAAAGGATTCACAAAAAAAAAAGAATATCCCATATAATCTGAGAAGTCGATGGCCCTTCTCTAAAATTGCCCTTCCGCGTTCCGTTCGTTAAAAAAAAAGCCGAACCTAAACTCGTTAGAATTTGATGAGAATGAGAAATTCTCATCCTGTCTCAAAAGCATTCTTTTTCACTCTAAAACTTCTTAAAAACCATTAAATTTATATAACTTGTTTTAATACATTTTATATTTATGACTTACAATTTTTATATATTATCTACACTGAAAAACTTTTCATTTCAAAAATTAATTTCAAAATTGGTAAAACTCTGTTTTTGTACTATTTAGTTATATAATACGTCCCAAGTAGAAATATCCGTAGCTCGCCGTAATTAAACACCGGCATGGTACTGATCCAATACTGGCTGTCGGTATTGACTTTCAGTACTGGCAGTGTACTGACTAATACACCGAATCAGTACTATGTCGGAGGTAAAAAAATATTAAAACCAGTACTGGCAGTACACTGTCATTCACACCGAATCAGTACTATGTCGGTGATAAAAAACATTAAATGAAAAAGTCTTTAAATTATTCCAATAGATAGAAAACGATGATTTTTTATTTAAAAAAATGTATATTAATTTCTTTCGAATACTTTCCCTCAAAATTTTGGATGTAATTGTAATGTATTATTATATACCTATATAAAATATTTATAATAAAATATTTATGTTTTTTTAGTTATTTTAGTACTCATATGTGCATTAAATTATTTATCATGCATACAATAACAATCAGTTGAGAATTTTTTTCTAATAGTTTTAAAAATAAAGCAAATGTAATTTTTTCACTGTAATTTTTAAATATTATTAATAATTAAATATTAAATTTAAAAAATTTTGCACCATTCATATTTTACAGTCGTCTTTTATTAACTTATTTTTAATTATGTAATTCATCAATCATTTTTGTCTGTTTTAATATTATTTACGGTAAAAATAATTTATTAAAAATATTTAACTGAAATTGATATCCAGTTTTATTTCATTAAATCTTTGTAAAAATTGAAAAAATTTAAGAATAAATTCATTTTATTTTCGTGATCAATAGATAATACAAACTTTGAAATTAAAACTTTTGTATTAGGTGAACTACTTCAAGTCAGCACTTCAAGCCAGCGCGGCTGTGCGGTATGCGTATCTGACTTGCGTTCTAAGGGTTTAGGGTTCGATCCCCCATGCGTGCGAGATTTTTCGTTCTTAGTTTTAAGTGTTATAAGTACAATATTTGTTCATATGTAATATCAATTATTAAATTAAGTATAAGTGCAAAGTAAAAAAAAAATTAAATATTATGAATTTAAAAAAATAAAAAAATTTACAACACAAATTATTTTTTGTAAAATAATTTATTAAAAATAAAATAATTTAATTAATATAAATGATAATTATTATTTTAATTTTTTATTGTTAATAATATTTTATATATTCTAAATAACATTAACTATTATTGGCTTCACATTACCTGTTCGTGGTAAAAATGGGAGTAATAAGCTAATAAGGATGAAATTTGCATTGGAAAGCGTGTTTTAGCATTTTGTAAAAAAGTGAGATTTTAAGTCCGGATGAGTACTTTGCCAGTATTATGCCAGTATTATTCTAGTACTACGTTAGTACTGGTGAGCGGGACAAAATCAGTACTGGACAGCGTTACCAGCCAGGGTTGGTCCACTACTGGCCCAGTACGGCAGTCAGTACTGTTATACTGACTGGCAGTGTTGGGTCAGTACTATGCCAGTGGCACATTTCTACTTGGGGTACTAACCGAGTCGAATTTTAAGACCTCCTTTTTTCTAGGAGTAAAGTATATAGGATTAAACAGACGTATCTTTAGTCAAAATTTTGTTTCACCCTGTTATATACAATAGTTATGATTTTTCAAAAAATGCAATGCTCACATTTTGGCAATTGGATCACTTCAAAAATATCGCTCCATATATATAACAGACATCGCTTTTAATAAAATACGTCATCTTAACATGTTTCCTGGCAAAGTCCATATGTTAAAAATATTATTTTAGAATTTTTGAAAAAAAAATTAACTATTGGTTAAAATATTAAAGATTGCTAAACAATATTATAACATCCAAACCAAGTGATATATTTTTGAGAATGAATTAAAAATTTTTTTACACTATTGAAAGGGGACGCATTATTGTTAAAGTTTGGAATTAATTGTGACCTAGACCTTCGTTGCCAAAGACTTTAACTGTCGCCTAAAGGGAATTGTATGTATAAATATTGTAAACTTGAGCCAACCCATTTCTATATGCCAGGTTCGCATTTATGTGGAGCAACAAAAGTGACAGTCATATGTGTATACAGCGATACATATAAACGTTTGGGTTTCATTCTTGGCATCAGCTACATCAATTATTCACAAATAAGATAAATTACTCTGATTACGATGGTTTTCAATTAAATTTTGAATTTATCAAATTTATATATACTTAACACAAATTTCATTTTACTTTATTTCTATTATTTAAAAGATTTTTCATTAAGACTAATTTTTTTTCTCAATTAAATAGAGATTAATTATTTAAAATTATTTCTATACAATCAAATATCGTAATAGAATTTATAATAGCAATATTTTCATAAATAAAAAGAAAGACGTTATGGGGTTTTGCAATTTTTATATTTCATTCAAGCATTTAAATATACAAAGATTACAAATAATGATTTGAATCAATTAATTAAAACCAAGTAGCACGTAATGTTATAGTAATATTAAAATGTTCGCCTCATGGTAATATTACCGGTTAATGCTACTGTAGGTACACGCTTGTTTGAAAAACATAAAAATTTCAAAATATTTTTGATGATAAAACAGAAAAAGATAATAATTAATCAGTCAAATATTTTTAAGTGGTTTTTGAAATTTTTTGTAATATTACCAAAAAGCGGACATTTTAATATTACAGTAATATTACTGTAATATTACATGCTACTTGGGAATGGTTGCAGGAGACGTCGATTCTGAAGTAATTGCGAATTCGTAAATTTTTACAAAATCAATTTTGATTAATCAAGTTTGACTGATTTAAATTAAGATTGTAGGTACAATTCATACTGAGCATAAATTTACTTTGTAAATTTTCCAACTTATGAATTTCAGAATTACAGTTATTAGCCACACGCTCCATCGCGCACTTATTTAAAGATGTATATAAGCTGTAAATAAAATAATTGTTTGTATAATACACACAATCCATACAATATAAGAAATTAAAAAAATCCATTTTCAAAATTTCTGGAATAAGTTTAATTTGTGGCATATTGTAGAAAAATTATATATAGAAAAAAATCTGTAATTTTTATGAAATACGGTGAAATTCGCGTAATTTCAATTTAAATTTCATGATCCCTTCTAGGTTCTTATTGATATGATTCTGTTGATGTTATATATTATATTTAAAGAATAAAAAATCATACAATAATAATTATAACTTACTTGCATTCTCCATCTGAATGAGTCATTGCAAGTACATAGAAGAGCATGTCAGATATTAAAAATTTATTTTTCAAAATTTTATTCCCACAACTGAAGTATGAACTGCTTTTATTGCCAAAGCATTCCCAATTAACAATCCTAAAATTGACTGAAAGAATTGACATACAAAAACTGTATTATGATTCGAATATCAATAGTAAAATATTTCAAAAGTCATCATACTACTTGCACTCTTAGAAAAATTGAATTTTTTTATTATAGAATTTGCCTTAAGGGGTCTACCCACTTTAGACGCGCTAAAATGAAGGCTGTTTTCAAGAATTTTTCTGATTGGTTTATATTATAAATATTGACATATAAGTTGTTAGACTAAAGAAATACACTCCCGAAATACATGAAAAAATTTTTGTTATTTGTTTTTGTAAATTTTATATGCTTGCAAATGGTAGTTGAAAAAAAAATCCCCCAAAAAGATGGGTCCACGCTGTTGATGAAATCTCTGATATGAATTTTCCGAAACCAAAAAATCAAAAAGTTTTAGATTTAGTGTGGTAATAGCTATTGCGCATATCAAGGGATTTTTTATTTTTGCAAAATTGACAAAATGGCGGATATTTTTAGAAAAAACTAACACCCGGTTTTCTTTAATTTTTCGAAAAATGTCCGCCATTTTGTCAATTTTGCAAAAATAAAAAATCCCTTGATATGCGCAATAGCTACTAACACACTGAATCTAAAACTTTTTGATTTTTTGGTTTCTGACAATCCATGTCAGAGATTTCATCAACAGCGTGGACCCATCTTTTTTGGGGGATTTTTTTTTCAACTACCATTTGCAAGCATATAAAATTTACAAAAACAAATAACAAAAATTTTTTCATGTATTTCGGGAGTGTATTTCTTTAGTCTAACAACTTATATGTCAATATTTATAATATAAACCAATCAGAAAAATTCTTGAAAACAGCCTTCATTTTAGAGCGTCTAAAGTGAGTAGACCCCTTAAGTGTGGTAATAGAGACTTTCCCCTATTTGTATCGGGGTGTCAATTTTTTGACAAAAATGAAAAATTCAAGTGAATTTCTGTTATGGGAGTCATAAAGAATAAAAAAAAAAAAATTTTTTATGATTTTTAAGTCTATTTTCTTTGAAATGCGAGACAAAATACTGAAATAAAAAAAAAAATAAAAAAATTTCAATTGGTTCAACTAACTTATATCTACTATAATTTTTTTTTCAAATTTTTTCATCCTTTAATACAGTAATATACTTATGGAAACTTTTTTCTTAAACCTTTCTTAGAAACTATGCTGTCTCCATTTACCTCAAATTTTATGAAATTTTCTAAATCTTGGGGTAAATGAGGATGGTCAGTTTCATGCGTTTAAAGCTTATCTAAATTTTTTTCTGCTGCATAAAATTAATCCAGGTAATGTAAATAACAACTTAAAAAACCCCGCAAATATTACCTTTTGAAAGAAGAATCTTACGTAATTTGTGAAAAATAGGGATTTTTTCCCCATTTATCCCAACTGACCCTAAATCTGTTACTCATGAAATTTTTTTTTTAAATATAAAAATCATATAAATAATATTATTTTTTACCTATGTCGTAGTAAATGCATACTTTTGTTGTTATATCTTCGTAAATTGTTACTAAATCAATTTCGTTTGGTTTATTGTCATTGTCAAAGCAAGGGAGTATATCATCAACTAAATCTATAATTAATTGTTGGTTAGTAGTACTGTTACAGCTTGAAGTAGTGTTACGAATAAGTGCCTGTGTTATATTTCGTGCCTTAATCAATGTATCATAATTTTTATTCTGCTGATTGCATAATTGCTTCAATTCAGTGAATGTATAACTTTTGAATGGTTTTTTCTCTGCTGTAACAAACGAAACATAACCTAAAAAGGATAAGAGTATTGTTATTATAAGACATTATATGAGAAGGATGTATTTTTAAAATGAAAATTTATTAATGTGATGCGTTAAAATAATTTTTAAGACTATTTAAATAATTTGCCTTGGTTAGAATCAATTGACTCTGGTTTAATTGAATTCGTGAATTTTGTCGAATAATCAGTAAAATTTGATTGATTTAAACTAAAAGTGTAGGTACAATTCATACTGAGCATAAATTTATTCAGTATATTTTCCAATCTTTGAGCTTCAGAAGCACAGTTATTAGCCACTGCCTCCTTCGCGCAATTATTGAAAGATGCATATAGGCTGTAAATAAAATAATTTTCTATAAAATATACACAACTCATACAACATAAGAAATTAAATAAATTAATTTTCCAAATTTTCACAATAAGCTTAACTTGTGGTCTAATTTAGAAAAATTATGGAAAAAAAACTGTAATTTTTATGAAATTCCAAATTTTTTTTAATTTTATCAAAACTTATTGAAATTATTAATGGGACAGAAAAAGTTTAAATACACGTTATTAGATTCAGATTTTAATTAGATTTCCAATACTTGTAGTTTTATTTATATCTTTTATTTTGACTGCAAGTTATCATGCTACAAATACCAAAGTAGTTTTTTTTTGTAAAGTTTTACAGCTGTAAAGCTTCGATTATCGTATACCTTATTTATGTTTAGGTTTTTTTAAAATTATTTTATAATACAAATAAGTGCTCTTATCAAATTATTCTTTTTTAAATGAATGCTATATTATATTTAAGAAATCAAAAATTATTCATGATAATAAATATTATAACTTACGGACATTCTTCATCTGAATGAGTCATTGCAAGTATATAGAAGAGCGGATCACTTTTTAATTTTTTCGAATTTTCATTCACACATGTGAAGTATGGACTGTCTTCATTTCCAAGGCATTGCACATTAGTCATCCTAAAATTGACTGTAAGAATTAAAATAAAAAAAAAAACTGTGTAATTATTCGAATAATACTATTAATTCATTACTGATTTGAAGGTAACTTTAAACCATTCATCTTTGATTGATATAAATTTTTGTGAAATTAAAAAAAAATTAATAGCTCTAAATTCTTTTGCTATATGCGAATTAATGGTGATTTTTTTAATAGTACCTTCAAAACTATCCACTCTTTTAAACAAAGTTAATTGTAAAATGAAATTTGCAATAATTTTATATTTTTAATAATAATTTTATAAGAAATTTGTATTATTTATACTTTTTAGAGTTCGGATTATAATTAACTTTATATACTAAAATATTGATGTTTTTAATAATAACTGTAGATATTGACTATCGCAATAAAAAATTCAATATCTACGGTTATATTTGAAAATACCAATTTTACTATAAAGATAATTATAATCCGAGCTCTAGAAAGTATAAATTTATTATTAAAAATATAAAATTATTGCAAATTTTATTTCGCAATTAACTTCGTTTCAAATATTATCAAAAAAATCATAATTTATAGCGAAAGAATTTTGAGTTATTAATTGAGCCTCCCAATTCTATAACTCATCCGACGCTCGGACGAACGCTCTATTGGTAGTCGGGTAGCAGCGAGAGAGCCGTTGACGCTGATTGCTACCCGACTACCAATAGAGCGTCCGTCCGAGCGTCGGGCGAGTTATAGAATTGGGAGGCTCAATTTTTTTTTAAAAATGTTGCAAAAATTTATAATTGTAAAAAAATTTATAAACAACTAAAATTTCCAAAGAAAGGTAAAAAAATTTTTTTTTGTTTAGTTATGAACTACTGATTATCATCAATGTTTTTACTATTTTAGAAATCAACAAAATATTTGCTTAGAGTTGACGTGGTTTGACTTTATTATAAAATACTTGGAAACTTTTAAGAATCCAAACAATGATGTCATTCACAATCTTAAGTTTTTAACAATTTCCAAGTATTTTATAAAAATTAATTCAAATAAATTACAAAATTTAGGCATATAAAATCCGTTTTTCATAGAAATTAATTTTTTTTTTTAAATATAAAAATCATTAATAATGTTTATTAATAAAACGTTTGAAAATTAATTTTATATGTATAATTACCTATTTCGGATAGGATGCATGCTTTTTCTTTAATATCCTCGTAAATTGTTTCTAATTCGATTTTGTTTGGTTTATTTTCATTGTCAAAACAAGGAAGTATTTCATTAACTAAATCTATAATTAATTGTTTGTTAGCAGAACCTTTACAAGTTGTAATAGTGTTACGAATAAGTGTCTCTGTTAAATTTCGTGGTTTAGTCAATGAATTATAATTTATATTCTGCTGATAGCATAATTGCTTCAATTCAGCAATTGTAAAACTTTTGAATGGTTTTTTCTCTGCTGTAGCAAACGAAACATAACCTAAAAATGATAAGAGTAATTATTATAATAAGACATTATATGAGAAGGATGTATTTCTAAAACAAAAATTTATTAAAGTGATGAGTTAAAATAATTTTGAAGACTATTTTAATAATTTGCCTTGGTATTCTCTATTTCTAATAATTATAGTATCATAAAGTTTAAATATATTTACCATTAACAAAGGCAATTAATAAAACTGCTTTCAAATACTTCATGTTTTTCAAAATTAATATTGACAAAATTTTCAACGTTACTTGGAACAGAAACAATGAAAACTTGATGAAATTCTTTTCTTTATATACTCGCAATAGCAGATAACACTATGTGTTTTAATGTAAAAAAGAAAATTAAATATTTTATCTAATGTCACATTTGCTGAGCGTGCTTAGAAATCATAGAAATGTAAAACCTATCTATCTACATATTTTATTTTTATTAATAATAAAATATATCAAGTACATAAAATATAAATTTAAAAAAAATATGAACAAACAAGATGTAAATTCAGATGTTCATTACATGAACATTTTGCTTCCTCTTTACGATCAGCAAAAAAATTTGCTTCCTCGTGGAGAAAGCATTAACATTAAAATAAACATACATTAATAATATAATAATATAAACATTTGAGTATACATTTGAGTTAAATTTAAAAAATTAATGGAAGTTAAAAAATCAAAAATTCACATTTTAGCCTAAATTTCTAAATATTAATGAAAAATAATATAGGTATAATTTATAATTATTTACAACTATATCGCTTTGTTTCATTGCAAGGAACACAATTATTTTATATTTAAACTTGAATTTAAATAAATAAAAAATTTTTCAGCTAAAATGGGAATTTATTTTTAACTTTCATTAATTTATTAAATTTACCTCAAATGTATACTTTATATATACCAATCGATTCTTTTTCAAGCAAGGAATACAATTATTTCATACATAAACTTCAATTTAAAAAATCAGACAATTTTTTTGACAAAATGTGAATTTTTTATTTTTTAACTTTCGTTAATTCTTTTAATTTAAATTGAAACTATAGGTACATTATATATACCATTCGATTTGTCTTGACGTAAGGAATATGATTTTATTATATATAACCTTAAATTCTTCTATTAAAAAATTTTTTTTATTAAAAAAAAAATTTGGAAAAAAGACAATTTAATTTTTTTTTTTGGGTATTTTTTAAAATCCTTTGGTCAGATTTGAGATATTAATATGATAAATGAGCCAACCAAATTTGATCCAATCATGAAAAAAATAAGAAAAAAATTCAATTTTTCTTAGGTAGACGATTTCATAGCTTCCACGAGGAAGCAAAAAATAAAACAAATTAAACAGTGTTTAAAATTTTTGTCATAAATTTCTCAGTTTTCAATACTTCACATTAAATATTGAAGGTCGCTATAGAATATTCGTCAATTTTCTATTTTATGAATTTAGTGCAATTATTATAGCTCTGAATCTATCACATAAAGTGTAAATTTTGTAGAATTTTTTTTCCCTAAAAAATATATATGAGGCAAAATTCCTGAAGTGATCCAACTTTAAAATTGAAGGTTTTTGGATCGAGATGAAATTTGCACAAATTTTAGTACTATGCGTGAGTACTTCAACAAGCAGACTTGCATGCACTCAATAATTCACTTTCCATGCAGACAGGACAAAAAATGTTGTTCGCAGCACGAGCGCAAAAGGTGATAGTGTCTCTGGCGAGATTATGAAGAAACCTCGGCGACCCTTGGTTACTCTAATCTCGCCTTCGCCACTATCACCTATTTTGCGCCCTTGATACGAAAACAACTATTTTTTACCCTCTAAAGGCACCCCACATTTCAAACATTTGTGAAAGTTTTCTATTTTACTGAAAAGGAGGTTTAGTATAGTGAATTTTTTTTTGTTTTTCAGTAAGAAAGACGATTGTAACATTCATTTTTGCTTTCTTATGACGAAGCTTTGCATTCGTGACGTTTTTCGATTTTTTAAAATTGGGTTATATGGACTCATTTTCATCTAGAAAAAATATATATGAAGTCCTGAGCAAATGTCCAGATGTATGTGTGTGTGTGTATGTCACAAAATATTGTGTACAAATTATCTCAGAAACGTTTTAACGGATTGTTCTGAAATTTTTTATGCTTCTTGTAATCATTAATATCTAAAATCTGACACAAGGATTTCCGAATATATTCACAACATTTTAGTTTTTACATTTTTTTCAAAATTTAAAAAAAACATTTTTTTTTCAAAATATTTTTTTCTTTGTAAATTTAATTTTGTTTAGTAAAAAAAACTTATTTCTTGCATTAAAACGAATCGATTAGCCTATATAATGTTCATATTTTACTGAAATCTATAGATTAAATCATTTTTTTGAAATTTTGAAAATAATCGTTTTTTGGATTTTTGTGAAATAACTTTTTCTAATATAAAATTTTTAATTATTTCTTGTCAAAATTGTATTTCTGACATAAATACATGAAAATATACTATCGTAGTGTTTCGGCAAAAAAAATTATCTGTGCCCCTAATTCAGAATTTTTATCAGTTTTTGGCGATTTTAGCTAAAAGAAATTTTTTTTTGCCGAAACACTACGATGGTGCATTTTCATGTATTTTTTCACGCTGAATTCGAATTCGAAGTCAGAATTGACAGATTGGCTCAAATTTTGAAGATAATTCCAAAAAACTGATTTTGAGTATTTTGAGTTTTTTGTTACTTGCGTTTTTTTGCAATTATCTCAAAAATTTGAGCGAATCTAACAATTCTGACTTTGGATCAGAGTTGCCAATGACCCTACCTAAAAGCTACTGCGCTTGCGCTACGACAACTCTCTTATAGGTCGAAAAAAGCGCGCTTATATAAAATGCTTAATAATAAGAAAACGTTAATAAAACAATATAAAAATATTTTCACTATTGAATTTATTTTTTTTTGTTAATTATATTGCTTCCTAATAAAAAAATACTAATTTCCTTAATATACTTAAGTATATAATAATAATAATAATAATAATTTTATTATATTTATATCATTATTGTCATTATTTTTTAAATAAAATATTCATAATCTATTATAATTATCATTATTTTCAATAAATTATTATTATAAATCTACAAAAGTATATTACATCTATATATATTTCAAAAAAATGAATTGAATTTTTTTTGTACTTTTTTCCCAATTCAAATTTTCCTCATAAAAAAGTACAAAAAAGTTTCGCTAAATTTTTCAAAAAATATATATGTATATATCATAGATAATTAATTAATAACAATTTAATGATAATAACAAAAATAAATAATATATTACATAATTAATTAATAAATATTAAATTGATGATAATAATAATAGATTATATATTTTATAAAAAAATAATAACAATAATGATATAAATATAATAAAATTATTAATATTATAATTATTATTATTATTTTTACATACTTAAGTACATTAAGTAAATTAATATTTTTTTTATTAAGAAGCAATATAATTAACAAAAAAAAATAAATTCAATAGTGAAAATATTTTTATATTGTTTTATTAACGTTTTCTTATTATTAAGCATTTTATATAAGCGCGCTTTTTTCGACCTATAAGAGAGTTGTCGTAGCGCAAGCGCAGTAGCGTTTAGGTAGGGTCATTGGCAACTCTGCTTTGGATTCGGATTCAGTGACAAAAAATACATGGAATTACACTATCGCAGTGACATTCAAAATTTTTTTAACTTTTTGATTTTATTTTTCTTTCTGAGCAGTTTTTTGAGTTTATCTCAAAAATAAAAGCCATTCTGATAATTCTGACTTCGGATTCGGATTCAGCGTGAAAAAATACATGGAAATAGACTAGTGTAGTGTCTCGGCTAAACAGCTTTTTATTTTTGGTGTGCCTGTGTTATTCTTATTTTAGCATAAATTATGAATTTGGTCATAAAATACAAAAGTTAAACTTTTTATAGATGACAAAAGAGATCATGAGCTACTGCTCAAATTTAAACACCGCGTGACATGGTAATTTACTAGTAGTCCAGTCAAGTTAGTCTAAAAACAAGGGATATCATGTTTTAACTTAGGACCTCAATTTTTTTCCCTTAAACCCTTCATTTTAGGGTAAAAATAAAGTATCTAAATTTGATACTTCGAACTGCTACCGAAACATAAAATTTTTCTTAAGAAATAGGTGCAAAAATTCAGTTTTTCAAATTGCCGCCTTTCATGACATTTTAGCATTAAAATAATTATTATAAAAAAGAAAGTGTATCAAATTCTGAGTAATTTGATAAAAAATGAATCCTGTAGCTCAAAAATTGACCGAGATATAGCTTCCTCAAAAAACACATTTTTTTCGAGATTTTAGCTAAACTGAGGTATTTTTTAGTTTTTACAATATACCTTTGAAACAAATAATTTTTTGAAAAAATTGCTTAACGGGAAAGTTAAAGCTGACAAAATTCCTAACAATTTGCAAAAAAGAACAATGCAATAACTCTTGATAGTTTCCGAGATACAGTCTCTCAAATATGACCCTTTTGAAATTTTACATAGAATCTCATTTTATTACCATTGTATGTAAAATTTCAAAAGGTTCAACTTTGAGAGACTGTATATCGGAAACTATCAGAGCTATTGCATTGTACTTTTTTGTAAATTGTCAGAAATTTTGTCAGCTTTTATGCTAAAATGTCATGAAAGGCGGCAATTTGAAAAACTGAATTTTTGCACCTATTTCTTAAGAAAAATTTTAGGTTCCGGTAGCAGTTCGAAGTATCAAATTTAGGTACTTTATTTTTACCCCAAAATGAAGGGTTTAAGGGAAAAAAATTGAGGTCCTGAGTTAAAACATGATATGCCTTGTTTTTAGACTAACTTGACTGGACTACTAGTAAATTACCATGTCACGCGGTGTTTAAATTTGAGCAGTAGCTCATGATCTCTTTTGTCATCTATAAAAAGTTTAACTTTTGTATTTTATGACCAAATTCATAATTAATGCTAAAATAAGAATAATTAATCTTAATCATCTATATATAAAAAAGTTTAAAGCATTAAAAAAGATTTAGTGTTAAAAAGTTATTTTTTTTACAAAATGATTTAAAAAACGCGAAACTCTGGCGATTTAGATTTTGAGAAAAAATATATTTTCATTTGTTAGCAACAGCGCCAATCTCCTCCTGTTGGCAGAATCACGAAATAACTTGTGACATTTATTATCTACTAAATGGCTGTCAAAATCAGTAAAATAGTGTTGATGTGTTATGTTAAAAAAAAAGTTTTTGTTCTTATTTTCGTGATTGGTGAATCTTTGCTAGTGTATTTTTTAGTGTTTATTAATTCTCCAAATGATAATTGTATTTTTTTTTTTGTTATTTCTGAGAAAATATCTGAAAAGTTTTCGTAAAAAAATATGCTCATATTTAATTTATCGTCATTAATTTTTTTTTTTCATTGTTTTAACTCAAAAAAAGTTTTAGCTTGGTATATTTCTTGACAATAATAAATTATCCTAAAGGAAAAAGTATTTTATTGTCTTGCTTTCAAGTAAATACTGTAAAAAATTTTCTAAAATTTGAGTTTCGATATAGGTGGTGCTGCCTTACTAGGACCTACCCTTAACGAAAGATACACAAGAAAAACCGTGCGCCGCGGGACAAAATGTACCATCGGTACACTGTAAACTTGATGGTATCATTTTGGAATGCAACGTTTTGATTCGATATAAGGTATCAAATTGATCCAAATATTTGAATCATTTTCAAGAAATGATTCAGAATATGGGATCATTTTTTAATACCTGAATTGGTATCAAAGTATAATTGTCATGGCTGACATGCTCTTATTGACAAGTTTATTAATTAATTTATTCACTGCTCTGAATATTCAGATATTAACAATACTTTTATTATGAATTTTAAGAAAGAGAGAAGCGAAAATTTATAAATTGCGAGCAATTAAATAAGAAAAAATTTATTTCGAAATAAAATGAAATACACTAACCTTTATTTATGTTTATCACATAAGATTTAAGTTAAGTTCACAATCACAACACTTGAAAATTTTTAATTATTTTTATGGTTCAAATAATTATCAATAATTTATTTATTATAAATGAACAAAATTTAAGCAATGCACGCTTGATAAATATTTCTATTGCATTGTCAATTAATGCAATTAATAATTTCCTGTTACACAATATCATAATCGACATATATGACATTTGTAAACAAACAGGGTTGGGAAACAAGAGCCCAAAATATATTCGTCCAAAGCGAATTTCAATCCTACCCAACTCTGCTTTGGACGAACATATTTTAGGCTCTTGTTTCCCAACCTTGTTTGTTTACAAATGTCATATATGTCGATTATGATATTGCGTAATAGGAAATTTTTAATTGCATTAATTGACAACGCATTAGAAATATTTATCAAGCGTGCATTGCTTAAATTTTGTTCATTTATAATAAATAAATTATTGAGAATTATTTGAACCATAAAAATAATTAAAAATTTTCAAGTGTTGTGATTGTGAACTTAACTTAATCTTATGTGATAAATATAAATAAAGGTTAGTGTATTTCATTTTATTTCGAAATAAATTTTTTCTTATTTAATTGCTCGCAATTTATAAGTTTTCGCTTCTCTCTTTCTTAAAATTCATAATAAAAGTATTTTTAATATCTGAATATTCAGTGCAGTGAATAAATTAATTAATAAACTTGTCAATAAGAGCATGCCAGCCATGACAGTTATACTTTGATACCAATTCAGGTATCAAAAAATGATCCCATATTCTGGATCATTTCTTGAAAATGATCCAAATATTTGGATCAAATTGATACCTTATATCGAATCAAAACGTTGCATGAGTTGATCTTAATTCTTTTATCAATTTGATACACACAAGAAAACTGTGTAGTTCTAGTGTTAAGACTAATTTTTTTTTAATTAAATAGAGATTAATCATTTAAAATTATTTCTATACAATAGAATATCTATAATTAATAGAATTTTTGATAGCACTATTTTCATAAATAAAAAAGAGACGTTATGAGGTTTTGCAATTATTATATTTCAATCATGCTTTTAAGTACAAAGATTACAAATGATTTGAATCAATCAATTAGAAAGTAGTTCCGGAAGTAAGTGAATTCATAAATCTTCATTAGTCAAGTTTGACTGATTTAAATTAAAATTGTATTTACAATTCATACTGAGCAAAAATTTATTTTGTAAATTTTTTAATTTATGAACTTCGGAATTACATTTATTAGTAACTCTCTCCATCGCGCACTTATTTAAATTTGTATATAAGCTGTAAATAAAATAATTGTTTGTATAATACACATAACCCACACAATATAAGAAATTAAAGTTATTTTCAAAATTTCTAAAATAAACTTAACTTATATGACATATATACTTTAGAAAAATTAAAGAAAAAATTTGTAATTTTTATGAAACACGGTGAGATTTGATTAATTTCAACCAAAGTTTCATGATACCTACTATAAGGTTCTTCTTGATATGATTTTCTTGATGCTATATTATATTTAAGAAATAAAAAATTATATACAATAATAATTATAACTTACTTGCATTCTTTATCTGAATGAGTCATTGCAAGTATAAAGAAGAGCATGTCAGATTCTAAAGGTTTATTTTGCAAAATTATATTTCCACATTTGTAGTATGAACTGCTTTTATTTCCTAAGCATTGACTATTAATCGTCCTAAAATTGACTGAAATTTGATACAAAAAACTGTATTATGATTCGAATATCAATAGTAAAATATTTTGGAAGTCATCATACTATTCGCTCAAATTCATTATGTTTATCATGTCTAGTAATATTCTTTTATATTTCATGTAATAAATTTATAAATTTTTATAAATAGACGGATTTTAATGGTGTATATGAATCCATGATGATAAAACAATGAAAGGGAAACTACAATTACAAGTAATAGAAACAGTTATGAAAAACTAGTTACATTTTTCACCACCCAGCATATTTGCAAATATTAGGTCCCAATAATGAAAAACGACAATGTTATGTACGAAAATTGATATCTTGTTGAAATAGTTACAATAAAATACTTGAAAATTGTTAAAAATCCAAACAGTTTTGTCACTCTGAATCTTTATTTTCTTACAATTTCCAAGTGTTTTATAATAATTAATTCAAATATATATCAAAATTTACGCATATTAAATCTGTTTCTCATGAAATTTTTTTTTTTTTTTAATATAAAAATCACATGGGTCAGACCATTATATTTCAAATAAAGTCGTTGTGGACGAATTTTAGAAAAAATTTATTTTTTCAGAAATGATTCTGTATAATATCAAGGGAATGAAATAAAAAAAATTCATTTTTCTTAAAATATGAATTTAAACTGGAAAAGATACCAAAACGATAAACTTTCGGTGCGTGTAAATTTTGGTGTGATTTAAAAGTTATTGTGAAAGTGACAAATTATTAACTTAATATTTATTGTATATTTAAAGTAAAATTAATTATAATGTTAAGAAAATCTGAAACTTCATCAAGAATATACTCTATATTCGGTGAGTTTTTATTTAATTTAATATTTATGCTTTCTTGTAATTAGTTGATAAAAATCGCAAAATTATAGGTTATTTAACGAACCAACTTTAAAAACATATTTTACCTATTATTTTAATTTATTTAGTAGTTTAATCATTAAAATATAAATAATCAACCAATTTTAAACAATAATCAATAATATTTTTTACACTTTTAATAATTTTTCTATGTTTTTTTATACATTTTCTAATAGATAAAAAAAGTGACACTTTTGCCTTTTCCACTTTAAATTCATATTTTAAGAAAAATAAATATTTTTTTAACATAATTCTTTTTATTTCATTCCCTAAATATTATACAGAATCATTTCTGAAAAAATAAATTTTTTCTAAAATTCTGCCGCAACGACTTTATTCGAAATATAATGGTCTGACCCATATAAATAATATTAATTAATAAAATTTAAGAAAAATAATGTTATATAATTACCCAATTCGTAGTAAATGCATACTTTTGTTGTTATATCTTCGTAAATTGTTTCTAAATCAATTTCGTTTGGTTTATTGTCATTGTCAAAGCAAGGGAGTATATTATTAACTAAATCTATAATTAATTGTTGGTTAGTAGCACTGTTACAGTTTGAAGTAGTGTTACGAATAAGTGTCTGTGTTATATTTCGTGCCTTAGTCAATGTATCATAACTTTTATTCTGCTGATTGCATAATTGCTTCAATTCAGTGAATGCATAACTTTTGAATGGTTTTTTCTCTGCTGTAGCAAACGAAACATAACCTAAAAATGATAAAAGTAATTATTATTATTATTATAAGACATTATATGAGAAGAATTTTTAAAATGAACATTTCATTAATGTGCAACGTTAAAAAAAATTTTAACGACTATTTAAACAATTTGCCTTGGTCTTCTCTATTTCTAATAATTTATTTATCATAAAGTTAATTATATTTACCATTAACAAAAGCAACAAATAAAACTGCTTTCAAATACTTCATGTTCTTTAAAATTAACATTGACAAAATTCAAAACTTTAATAAATGGTGAAAACTTGATGAAATTTTTTTTCTTTATATAATCCGCATTAGTAGATAACAATATGTGTTTTAATGTAATAAATAGAATTAAATATTTTATCTAATGCCACATTTGCTAATTGTACTTAGAATTCGTAGAAATGTAACACCTTTCTACATATTTCATTTCCATTAATCAATAAAGCTGAAGTACTTAACGTTTATGATAAACGATTTTTAAAAAAATAATTTAACAATAATTTAATCGTTTATCATAAACGTTGTGTACTTTAGCTTCGTATTAATCATAAAATACATTAAATATGTATAATATAAATTTAAAAAAAAATATGCACAAAAAAAGAAAACAGTTGTGGCATCAAAATTTTAATTACTCTCTAAATCTGAATTAGTAAAAATGTTTACTAATTTAAAATAATGACTCACTTTTTGCTTTATAATTAGTTAAATTTTACTAATTATTAGTTAAAGTTACTAATAATTAGTAAAATTTTACTAATTGAGAAACAAAAAGTGAGTCACTAGTTCAAATTAGTAAACTTTTTTACTAATTGAAGGTGTCAAGCGCCAATTTATCGAAAATGAAGTTTTTGCATAAAAAAATCAAGAAAATTCATTTACATATTTCTGTAGAAGGATTTCCTTTTTTATTACGTATTTAAATCAGTTTTTAATAAAAATTAAATTAATAAAATAGCCTCAAATTTACTTTATTGCAACCTGATTGAAAAATAAAAGAAAGTAGTGAGTCAATAATATTATTATGCATAACTTAACAAATTTAAAAACATTGCTTTTTACAAATCAAAAATGCCTCGCAGATGCGGAAAAAAATCTATTAATAAAAAAGATATTGTTAAAAAGAAACGATATGAAATGAGCCAAAAGTTCTGAATGTTCAAATGAAGGAAATATTTTTTCAATCTATAAATTATTAAAAATTATGATGACAATGTAAAATAAAACAATAAATTAAACAATTATTAAATTAATAACTTCTTTTTAGATAATTAAAACAAATATTTTGTAATAAAATTAGTACTTAAAAAAGTTGCAAAAAAAGTTTCGTTCATTTGAAAGTTCAAAACGTGAAATTTTTTTATGAATTTCATTCTTCACATTTTTATCCATCTGTTCAGTTTTGATCAAAAATATTATTTTTTTAGGTTTTATTTTAATATTTTATTTTAATTTTGTTTTAATTTTATTTTAATAATATTTTAATTAATAAAATTAATAGTAATAATAATATATTTTCAATCTTAAACAATTTTAAAATCATTTTGTTATTAATTTTTAAATATTTTTATGATTATACTAACAATAAGTGAACAATTGAATTTAAAGATGAAAGTATTGCTCAATTCCAAAGCAAGCAATTAATTCGTAATTTTCTTGAAAACAAACAATTTTTTAAAGGAATTTTTTTTTCTATTCATTTCGTCGATTCCATAGAATAAGAAACTAACTTTCCAGTTTTTCTTTAAACTGTATATTTTTTTTATAATTAATGCTTAAAGAAAATGTGCGCAGTTGATACACTGAAAAAAAAAATTCTGGTTAGGCTATATTTAACATTACTTTCTAGTTATGTTAACCAGAATTCTAGTTGAATTAACTAGAATTCTCGTTAAAATAACCAGAGTTCTGATTAACCTAACCAGAATCAAAATGTTAAATATACCCTAACCAGAATTCTGGTTATTCTAACTAGAATTTTTTTTTAGTGTATAACCTCAAGGCAACACAGTTTTTTTTAATTTTATCGTTAATATGTAGGTTTATTTCAACAAATTGTTGTTTATTTATTAAAGCGGTTTTCTCAGTTTTTTTTTAAAATGACCTGCAAAATTTTTAAAAATATTTTTTTTACTTCCTGTAAAAACAGTGAATTGGCGCTTGACCCCTTTTGTCATTCTACCCTTCAATTCAGATTTAAAGAATACTTGATATTAAATATTGAATGTCGCTATATAGAATATTCGTTAATTTTCTATTTCCTATGAATAGTTTTTAATTAAGCGCATTTTTTTATATATTTTTTTTAATATAATACATATTTAATATTTTTTGAAAATTTAAATAAGGGGTATATTATATATATATATATATACATATGTTGGTGTTAAGATCCTTTTTCGGGGTCGACAACCTATAGAAGAAATATACGACAGTCTTCATGCAGACCCACCATGAGGCATATTCCATTGGGTCGTCGCTTCTCACCTGCACCAAATTCCTAGCTATATAGTTGCGCGCGATGCGGTCGACGACCCCATAAAAATAAAAGATCACAGGGGCCTTTGCACCGACCCTATCCGCCGGATTAACTTTAAGGTCTAGACTGATTATATTCTCCATAGCTATTGTATACATATTGGAAGATCTATAAAGAGAAGAAGACACTCCACAGAGTCAAGGAATTCTGGGACCCTCCCTAGGATCGAAAAAAGGGAATGATGATGATAATAATGATGATGATGATGATGCTGCACGCCACATTTCGTACCGGATACTCAGTTACAGTCTAAAAATCAGGTAGAGGTTGAAAGACCGCGCCGATCAAGTGCCATAGATCGCATAGGGTGAGTGTCCTTGAATTGTCGAAACACGTGTAGCCAAGGACCGGTTCGAGGTCATAAAAAAAAAAAAAAAGATTTTAATCCCATGTACGACTCATCTCTTTGTTTTTTTCCCCCCATCTTGATAAACTTTGCACTTTGTACTGGGGGCGTGTAATTTCATTGGTTTTTGGGAAAAAAAAGTTTTTAAAAAAAATTAAACTTAAAATTTAAACTTTAATTTAACTTTATTTAAAGAATTTAAATTTTTTTTTCAAAATTAAATTTCTTGGATTTCTGCAAAGTAAATTTTTTTTTTTTGGTTTGTCCACTTTTTTTTAAATGACCGAATCTTCATTTGTCCGAATTTTTATTTAGACAGTTTAAGCAGAGAAATTTTCATTTGTTCAAAATTGCAAACGTCTGCCAAACAATTGACATAAAAATTAAGGCGCGAATTTAAAAAATGACCAATCAGAAATTATCAAGACAATTGTGATTGGTTAATTTTACAATACCCGCCGAAAACTTTCTGTCGATTATTTTCTCGCCATTTGCAATTTTGGATAAATTGAACACGGAAAAAAAGGAATTGCTTACAGATGCTAACTGATGTTTGCTATCGGATATATCAAAATTAGTAATCAGAGCTAAATTTTTTGCTATGACAACAAAAAAGTTTGCTGTGATAAACAATATCAGTTTTAATTTTTAAAAATGTACTGTCACAGCAAACTTTTTTGACCTCACAGCAAATTTTTTCACTGTCCCTACATTAGCTAACGTAATTTGATGTGACAGCAAATTATTTCTATGCATGTATATAGAAGTGAAACAATATTTAAATTAAAAAATTTATAATTTCGAAGTAGACTGTAGATACGGGTCGAAGTAACTTTGAAGTTTTATACCTGCATTCCGTACTGTTTATGTTTACATTGAAGTACAAAGGATATCCTTTAAGTCGATGGTAATAATGGTAATAATAATAATAATAATAATAATAATAATAATAATATTTTTAGCTACTGAATTTTTGTTTGGCAGAATTTTTATTTTACAGTAATTTTTTTTACATGATTTTTTATATAAAAGAATTTTAATTTAAGCGAATTTTAAATTTAGCAGAATAATTTGGAAAATAATTAATGAATACTAATTTAGTTTTATTAATATAATTTATTAATAAAACAATTATTATAACAGCAATTATATTTATTAATCAAATCGAAAAAAAATTTTCTTCAACTCATTATATGAACCATAAAACACTAAGACTAACGATGAAATATATATCTTATAAAGATTACAAAATGTTCAATGTAAATTAAAAAAAGGAAAGTGAAAGTTTAGATAATTAATTTTATTTTTAGATACAGTGATTCACTGCAAATTAGAGCAGAATTAGTTATAACATAATATATTCTAATAATATAAAAATTTTTGAATTTTATTATATAAACATATAATATATTGTATATAACGGATTAATTATTTTCTGTATTTTTTGAGTTTTAAAATTCTATTATAAAGTTTATTTTGAAATATAATAATTAAAAATCATGACCAATATCCATTTGGATTATAATCGACAATTTTATTATTAATTATTATTATTATTTTAATTAATTATTGTATCTTGTTTAATGAGATCATGATTATATAATTTGGAAAGATAGAAAAGTATAAAGAAAATATAATAAATTAACAATATTTTGTTATATGGTTTTGAAAATTCTAATGGAAAATAAATTTTTTTAAATAGATTATGATAAAATAGAATTTTATAAAGTAATCAAAATAGTTAAATTTTCATTCGATTAAAACATTTATTTGCTTTCACTTTATAATTTCCACATAATACAACATCATCCAAATCCTAATTCAAATAAATCACATTATTTAGTTCACTTTTCAACTTCCCCATGGGGCAAAATCTCTCAAATGATCCAACATCAATAGTATCAATAGTGGATTTTTGAAAAATCACAGCTATATTTATAATTTTCGAAAAGGATGAAATTTTTTATTTTTTGAAATTTTTTTATATAACAGTAGGTAAAAAAAATATTTTCCTTTTTTTTGAAATTATAAAAGTTTTTATTATTGCTTAAAAAATTCATTTTATTGCTTAGAAAAAATATTAAAACACGAAGTAGTATAAGGAGGCCCCACTGCT